AGAGGATCCTGGAGGAAACGGATTATCTGGACCCCTATCAGTCAGGTTTCAGGCCCGGTTATGGGACAGAAACAGCATTGGTTGTACTTTTGGACAATCTCTGGTGAGAGTAGGATGGGGGTAGTGCATCCATCCTTGTTCTTCTTGACCTCGGCAGCTTTCAATACCATCGACCATGGCATCCTTTTGGGTCAGCTGCAGGAGTTGGGGCTGGGCAACATAGTGTTGTACTGGTTCAGCTCCTTTCTCCAAGGCCGAACCCAATCGGTGTTGATAGGGAGCGAGAGGTCCAACCCATGGCCCCTACTTTGTGGGGTACCTCAAGGTTCGGTGCTCTTGCCACTCCTATTTAACATCTACATGAAACCGTTGGGTGAGATCATCCGGCACCATGGGATGAGGTATCATCAGTATGCTGATGATGCTCAATTATATATCTCGATCCTGGGTGACCCAAGTGATGCTGTAGCTACCCTTTCACAGTGCCTGGAGGCTGTGGGGGCCTGGATGGGGGACAACAGGCTTCAAATGAACCCTGGTACGACGGAATGGCTGTGGGTACAGGGAGCCTCAAGATCTAGGAGTTTATCATCTTTGGTTCTTGACAGGGTCACACTACCCCAGTCAGACCCGGTGTGTAATCTGGGGGTCCTTCTGGACTCACGACTCCTGTTCAAATAGCAGGTGGCAGTCATGGCTAGAGGGCCTTTGCGGAACTTCATGTTGTGTGGCAGTTATGCCCCTTCCTCAATTGGGATGCCCTCCACACGGTCACTCATGCCCTGGTCACCTCCCAGTTGGACTACTGCAATGCACTCTACATGGGACTACCTTGAAGAGTATCCAAAAGCTACAGCTGGCACAGAATGCAGCGGCGTGGACAGTTCTGAATGCCCCTGGGGGGCACACATAACACCCTTGTTACACAAGCTGCATTGGTTGTCAGTTTGCTTCTGGGTCCAATTCAAGGTGTTGGTTATCACCTTTAATGCCCTTCATGGCACAGGACCAGGTTATCTGAGGAGCCATCTCGCCCCAGTATTCAAGGTGTTGGTTATCACCTTTAATGCCCTTCATGGCACAGGACCAGGTTATCTGAGGAGCCATCTCGCCCCAGTATATTAGCCTGCCTCACTTGGTCCGGCAGAAGGGGCATGTTGCAGACCCCACCAGTCAAGGAATTTCGACTGGTGGGATCTAGGAAGAGGGCCTTTTCTGTGGTGGCCCCTACTCTATGGAACAAACTACCTCCAACGGTGCAGTGTGCCCCCACTCTCATGGCCTTCAGGAAAGGCGTGAAATCCTGGCTATTCCAGAAGGCCTGGGGACCAGATGAGGGTTCCCATCAGTGGAAGTGGCTTGTGGGGTATTGACCTTGCCCTC